CCTTCTCTACCTCCACCTTGGTGCAATAAATAAATAACTTAAATATATATATTTACATATCATTTAAATCGTCCCATTTCGACAAATTGTATTTCCGACACGTTCTCGATCCGGTTTCGCCCCAAGTGTGCTCCAAACTGGGCAGCGTGACCGGGATCCTGGACCTGACCTGGGAAGGCTGGGACCCCGCCAAGACACTGGCATCCCAGCAGGGCCTGGTGTACTTGCACCTGGATGTCACGAACCGCCAATACGTCCAGGCGGCGGAGAATTACCTCTACAGTCAGAACGGGAGCGACGCCGCCCTCATATTCGGCAGCCAATCCGGTAACTTATTTTCCCCTCTTATTTCTTGTTTGCAAAATAAATACCAAATTGTTTTTCGAGAATCTCGCGAATCCTCCTCGCCCACGCAATCGCTCCCGGAGAAAACATGACTAAGACCGACGAATCGGGTCGCGACAGGCGAACGACACGCCCTCGCCGAATCGACATCGATTCGACGCTCGACGTCGACGCAGCCGATGTCGGACCGACATCGGCCCGTCGACGTCGAAAATTCGTCTTCGTCGGCCTTAAAGCGAACTTCGAATCGACGACGGTCCGACGCCGGGACGAGACGTGCGCATACGCCGTTTCACGACCTTGCGAAGTCGACCTCGACCCTCCCAAGTCGATTTTTAAAGATCTCCGAGCCCAACACGAACTCCAAGCCGAGACGAGATGATTTTTCGCGTCGAACCGTCCCTTCTTCACGGTCGTCGAACTTGATCGCTTTGATCGAAGAATATCGAAGAAGATTCTCTGGACCGAGAGAAGAAAGCGTCTTTGAAAATATCCACAGAACTCGAAAAGTCGGGAGAGCCCACGCCAGCAGTAGAGCTCCTTTCGATTACGGGGCCCCTAATTATGCCCCCAATCGAGCAAATTGCCACGAGTTGAGCGGCAGAGTGGTTCCGGAATCACCGAATTTCAACCCCAGGATCTGCAACGAAAAATACCATTTTTGGTGCAAATTCGCTCCAGAACGATCTCAGCCTGTGTCTCGTCCACATCGTATTCGGTTGGCAATTTTCGCAGTTATCAAATTTTCGCTGTAATCGTCTGTCAACTTAAGTGCGGACGCACAAACACAAACGCACAGATGCAGACACTGACACACGCACACAGACACGGACAGACTGACAGGATGGAATTATACTAGTATATGGTCTCTTTCCTTTCAGGAAAGATGGTCCACTAAAAATGCAATTCTTACTCTAACCTTTATCCCTTCAAAATATTTTAGCGACGAAAAGAAGGGTCCATTGGACCCCCTTCCTCGCTTTTTTAAATTTTATTTAAAGCAAATGAAAACGCTAAAAATTCGTTTTTGGATCTATTTACCATAACCGTGAATGAAAAATCTGTTGAAATATGTGAAGAATTATCTGGGCAACGGGGTTCCGGATCCGGATAGGATCCGGATAAGGATCAAGACGATCCGCTAAATTCAAGTCGAATTAAACCGACCCACGACCGAACGACTCGACTCGTTGCAGAGTCGGACCAGAGCCTGTACTACATCATCGGCAACAGTCTCCTCCGCGTGATGGTGCTGAACCGGCTGGACGAAGCCGGCTCCGCCCGCCTCCGGAGACTCAAGCCCACGCCGGCCTACTACGCCATCTTCGCCGGTCGGACCGACATGCAGAGCATCTTCGCGGACGTGAGCCCTTTCCGTTTTCCTCACTCGGCCAAAATTTCAATTTTTTGAAATTTTATTTAGTAGTTCCTGCTAATACAACGACTAATTATTTTGGAAGAGTGAAAAATAATTAATGTAAGCCTTAATTAATGTACGCCCGACCCGAATCGACCGGCAACCGCTTCTGCCAGGCGCGGAAAGGGAACCTGGTGACGCGGGACTCCCGCTGGGCCCTGACCTTCACGGACTTCACGGGGCCGGAGGAGGCGAGGGAGGTCCTGGACCCGTCGCTGTCCGTGCCGCTGACCACCCTCACGCTGCAGGATCGGATCTGCTGCCTCGTGGCGGGGCAGGGCAACTGCACCTGCCAGCAACTGCAAGTGAGTTCTCACCGGGTGTGGGACCGGGCCACCGTAGCAAACTGAGACCCGCCGTAGCAAACTGAGACCGCTTTGGCGAGAGATTTGAGGCTCCTGAGCTCGGTTTATGTCGGCTGGGCGGTTCTCTCGTGCGATCGAGTCTAAACACACTCGTATGCATAAGTAACAGATGAGCCAAAAACGGGAGATGAAAGGTCGAGGCGACACCAGTCGCACGTCGCCGGACGACGGCAGAGAAAACGAAGATGCGAAGGAACCCATTCGGCACGACGACGTCGCGTCGACGTCGATTTTTCGACGCAACGACGTCGCCCCGACGTTGAGAAAAGGTCGAAACGAAACACGGCTCGACGTAGGAGAGTCGCGGCCGTCGTGCCGCTCTCGAATCGTCAACATCATAGTACCTCCCCCGCCCCATAAAGACTCCTCGAGAGCGCCGATCAACCTGCGAGATCGAACATAATAGATTCGACATCTCCACGGAAGGTACCCAAGCGATACGACGCCAACAGCACTCGACCTCGCACGACCACACCACGTGAAGGACGACGCCCGAGTGATCGCCACGTGCCAAGTGGAGAACGAGGAAACTCTTTGACGTGGGCTCGGACCCACCGGCCGAGAGCCTCCTTCTGCCGGGTCACCTCTTTAAACGGGTCCATCGAGAAATACCTTCGCCTTCCTTAATCTCGCACACGGGAAGAGTTCTGTGTCAAAATTACTAAATTACGGTTTTTTTCGAGGCACCGACGTAAGAACCGCCGAATCGGCGGTTAGACGCCATCTCGCGTCGATCCGTGGAACCCGTTTTCTGTCGATATCGTGTCGCCGAAACGACGGCGAGGATGATGGAATGCGAATTTGCGCTCTCTGCCTCTCGACGATTTCGCGGATTCGCGAAATGCTGGAAATTCGGTCAATTACGAATAGTTTACGAAATTTTTCGTCGATACTGATTCTTCGTCAGATTCTCAACTTCAACGTTTCGACCTCATCTCGACGCGGTCGTGCCGAACGGGAAGCGAATCACGCACAGACGCGAATCACGCACGGCTGCACGCCCGTCCCGCGAAATCCGAACCGAATCCCGAAATCGATTTCGTTCATCTTCCTCCTCGGATTTTTAAAAATAATTCATCGTGCGTTTACCATCCGTCACGATCGACTTGCAGGTGCGGAAGGAGTTCGTGTCCCGCTCGGTGAAGGCGGTCGCGGCCGCCTTCTCCAAGCTGAAGGCCTCGGGGGTGCCCCTGACGACGAAGAGCATCGAGTGCCCGGTCCCGAACACGTCCAGCTCCAGCGACAACACCAGGTCTAAATTATATGTAATCATACTTATTAGTAGTAACCTATATATATTATTTAGGTATTTAAATTAATCTCAATAATCATTATCAAAATTCAATTCCAACGATTATTTTTTTATTATTTGTTTTAACGTTCCTCTGGAAATGTTGAGAAGCCGAAAACCTTGACCCTCGCCGGGCTCCACCGTCTCCCGTTGCAGGGGACGGTTCGAGGCCGCCTTCAAGGAAGAGACCGCGAGGCCGGACTCCTTCGTGAAGCGAGACGGCGACGGCACGGCCCGTCCCGTCCTCCGCTTCCAGCTCCATTCGCACAACGGCACGACCAGGGAAAAGGTCGGTTCGGAGTCCACGGCTGGGTGCATGCCGAAGGCTTGCCTCCCTTTACGGAATTAATATTGCCTCCCTTTACGGAATTAACACTGCCTCCCTTTACGGAATTAATACTGCCTCCCTTTACGGAATTAAAATTGTCTCCATTTACGGAATCGACATTGCCTCCTTTTCTGCTTTTCCCAGGACGGAGGCAATGTCGACTTTGACTTGGTCTTTGTCCGACGGGCAAGTTGTAATGTAACTAAAATATTGGTATTAACATATATTGAAATACTAATATATAAAAGCGAATCCTCCCGCTCGTCACTGCACCCAGCCGATAGATGGCCAAAATTATTGAAAAACCAAAAAAAAAGGTTTGAAATTCTGACTGCGAAATCCCGGATCCAGCTGGGGAACTGGACGCTGGAGACCGGCTTCGCACCGGAGCCCGGCTACACCGCCCACAAGATCCGGCCCCGCTACCGCGTCGGCACGATCCTCGACCGGCCCTGGGCCTTCGACCTCCCCCCCGGCAGCCCCGATCCCCCCTACGACGGCTTCTGCATCCAGATGCTGAAGAGGATGTCGGAACTGATGGAGTTCGACTTCGACATCGTCGTCCCCGCGATCGGAACTTACGGCGCGAAGCAGGAAGACGGATCCTGGGACGGACTCATCGGGGATCTCTACCGAGGGGTCAGGGACTTTCCACCTCCCTTTCTCCCTCTTTCGTCGCACTCGCTTTCCTCGGACGTCCTTAGATCGAAGGCGTTCAAAAACGTTCATTTTAAATCGATTTTGTCACCTTGCATCAGAGCAATTTGTCAGCGAAGTGACTCATTTTACTTCCGCTCAAATCACAGTTAAGCGACCGAATGGGAAACGTCGGTTCCAAGATCACTTCGGCTGTAGATTGCATTATCGGATGCAGCTTTTGTTCCGGTTCGCAACCCTGCTGCCACAGCGCAGCAACGTAAGGATAAAATCCACAGCCCGGACGGAGTTTCAGATCCCAGCCAACCAGAAGCAGCCACGTCACTGCATGGCAACCGATAGCAAATCTTTGGGATGGGGGGAAGGCTTCACGATCGTTTTGCGCCATTCGGGCCAGGAGGCCTCAGATCGATGCCGTTGTGGCTCCTACCATATTAGAGATCGTAGCCGGAATTCCTACAGCAATGTAAACTTCTCGACCGGTGGAAATCCACCTGAGCATTCCCCTTCGTTTATTTGGAACCAGACCGATGTCCAACTCCGGGTACGCTCCCTCTATATGTATGCTGACATACGTTGAGAACAGCATAACTAAAGCATAACTAAAGCATAACTAAAGCTCTCTTAAGACCTGAAGTCGATCCCCGAACATCCTGTCGGTCGGAGGATCGAAAGGCTGATGGAAATTCGTGATGGCAGGAGACGGACATGATCGTGGCCCCGCTGACGATGACCTCGGAACGGGAGGAGGTGGTGGACTTCGTCGCGCCCTACTTCGACCAATCGGGGATCGGCATCGGTGGGCGCGCGCGGGAAACCTTCACGCGGGCCGCACGTGACGTCACGATCATTCCCGCCCTTTTCTTTTTTCTTCCCCATCTCCCGCCGCAGTGATCCGGAAGCCGCACCAGGAGCCGGATCTGTTCAAGTTCATGACGGTGCTTCGGCTGGAAGTGTGGCTGAGCATCCTGGCCGCTCTCCTGGTCACCGGGATCCTCATCTGGCTCCTCGACACCTTTTCGCCCTATTCGGCTCAGAACAACAAAGAACTCTACCCCTACGAATGCAGGTCAAGCCCTCGTGAATTCTCATCCGTGAACTATTCGCGATGGACTGAATCTGTCTTAAGAAGTCAGGTTTTAAAATCTGTCTTAAGAAGTCGGCCTGGATCTGTTTGATCCTGAAGATGTGCTGTCTCCTTCGGCTAATGTTTCTACGATGGAGTCCAACATCAGAAGAACTTTTGGAGCAGCAATAACCAAGTTTATCGTAGGCAGTCCGAAAAGTTCTGACGAATCGCAAGCTTTAAAGAAAATTTTAAAAAAGGCCTTCGAGCCCGAAAGGAAAAGCCGAAATCCTAATATTCATCACAATTTCTCACGATCTGGATTTTGCAAAGACGAAGAGCCACTGGTCTTTGGCAGGAGTAGGTCGCAGTTTTTGCGGACGAAAAAATCTCAGGTTCCGTTTTCTCGCTCCCCATAAAAGCGGCAACAGCGTCTGCAATTCTCTGCAAAATCAGGAGAATCTGCAGACGAGTCTCCGCGAGAAGGAAAGAGGAGGGGTGGGTCGCGCACAAAATGGCCCATTTTCCCCGAAGGCGGTCCTGGCTAACCTCAGGAAGACCGAGAAGGTGGAATTTCCTGGCTTTTACCGTCTGACCGACTCTAAGAAGTCTTCAATTTTCGAAAGTTTTTTAAACTCGACCGAACAGTCGCAGTCTCGTTTCCTGTTTCACTCTTCCGAACGGCCATGACCGTTGAAAACCGTTTACAAATAATTTGAAATTAACACTGCCCGTGGATTCATTCTTATTTATAATGTATAATATAATATCATTTATAATAACAACAATAAATGGAAGAATGAGAAAGACCCTTCCCAGACGGGCAACAGCGACGAAAAGCAGAATGAAACTCGAGGAACCAGGTCGTCCCGCGCCTAACAGCTCAAGAGCAACACGATAAAGCAATACGAGAAGCGATACGTATGCATAATTGATAGAATTAGTCCTAAGCGTCACACGGCGTCGTAGAATGCCTTGCCTCAAGGACTTGTTGGATTATTCATGGAGTGGCATCGACGGGAGAACCCGGACCGACAAAGGACATTCTCCTCTTTCCTCTTTCGATTCCGGTATCACTATGTTACTAGTGCGAACGAGCTTCGACATCCTTGTACCATTCCAAAAATTATAAAAAATAAAAATAAAAATAAATACTAATATATAAATAAGTAAATCCGAGCGGTGCGGTATCCCCGGCTGGAAAAGAGGAAATCGCGGGGAATCCCTCGCTCCATTCGAAGCAGAGTTACACACGGCCCTCCTTCTCTGATCGAAATCGTGTCCTGGCATATCATGAAAACGGTCCGTGGGCCTCGATGACGTCACCGCTCGGCCGTTGCAGGAAGTTCACGCTGAGCGAGAGCCTGTGGTTCGCGCTGACCTCGTTCACGCCCCAGGGGGGAGGGGAGGCGCCGAGGGCTCTGTCCGGGAGGATCCTCGTCGCGGCTTACTGGCTCTTCGTCGTGCTCATGCTGGCCACCTTCACGGCCAACCTGGCCGCCTTCCTCACCGTGGAGAGGATGCAGGTGGGTCCGGGTCCGAGTCCGTCGTGCGACGAGGGGATTTGCGAAGCGGGCCGCCTTTTTTCCGCCTTCGGCTAACGGTGGCTCACCGAGCATCCGATCCTATAATATTAATATAATATTCCTATAATATTAATATTTATATAATATTTCTGCTGGAATCCTATAATATTCCTCTTAGAATCCTATAATATTTCTCTAAGAATCCTATAATATTTCTCTTGGAATCTTGCAATATTCCTATTGGTTTCCTAAAAGATCCCTGGAAGAATCCTATAAGTTTTGGGGGATTTAAAATGTTATGGGATTCCTATAAGACTGCTTCGTTCGGGGTTCGTTCTTTCGGCTTTCATGCAGGAGACTATTAACGAGCGCAGAGACGAGGAGCGAAGTCTCCTCACCGTTCATCGGTTGGGATCTGCTCTCGGCCCCCTTTCAGGAAAAACCTATAGGATTCCAATGGGATTCCCATAGGATTCCAGTGGGATTCCAATGGGATTCCTATAGGAATCCTGTGAGTCTTTCAGGTCGTAAAAATCAATAGGATTCTTTAAAAAAAAAAAAAAAACTTTTTTGTAAGGGAGCAAACGTGTTCCCGATGCAAAGCAAGGACTCGCCCACGCGATCATGCTTGGCCTTGACCTTGACCTTTCTCGAGCCCCCTTCCCTCGACCCCGCGACAGAATCCGATCGGCTCCCTGGAGGAATTGGCCCACCAGTCCAAGGTGAACTACACCGTGCAAAACGGGACGAGCACGAAACAATACTTCGAGAACATGGCCAACGCCGAGGACGAGCTCTACAGGTCCAGTTCCTTCTTTTCCACTAATTAGATATGTTTTTAATTGATTTATTTTTAATTTGGAAAAAAATAAAGGTAATATCGGGAATTCGCCGTCAGGATGTGGAAGGAGATGGCGCTGAACGGGAAGCCGTCGACCGGGAAGGAAGACCCGAACCGGTTCCGCGTCTGGGACTATCCGGTCAAGGAGAGGTACACGCACATGCTCAAGGTCATCAACGACGTCGGGCCGGTCGCCTCGAGGAGCGATGGATACTCTAAGGTGAGGCCGACGAAAGCGGGACTCTAGTTCCGCCGGAACGAGAGAGATGCCACCTTCTCTTCCGAGATTTCGACCGACTTCCAAAAAGGGATTCACCGTGGCCCAGGGCCGACGAGGCCGACTGGTCGAAGGCGGGGACCCAAATCGATTGGTCGTCGCTATTTTCGGAAATGAAATGATCGAATGGAAGGGAAGTACGGGTGCCACCCAGTGCCCTCTAAGCAGAAGCTTGTGCATTTGGCAGTGGTCCAGTGGACTCGGCGAAGCATCGAGAAATCTCCACAAAATAATGTGGTCCGTTCGGAAAGGCTCATGATTGTTTTTTGCCCTGATCTTCCGACCGTTTACCAGCTTCGCGATTCGAAAAAAAGGAACCGGAAAACGACCGAAACAGACCGGCGACCGAACCGGAACTCCTGCAGCAACAGATCTCGGCGGCGGCTCGACCGTCGTCGAAATGAAACCATCTCGTACGAGCAAATTTATTCGAAAATATTTGCAAATTTATTCGACACGATCGATCATTTTCGCTATTCGGTCGACCCCAAGTGGCTTTTCTCACGGACCGACCTCTAAAAATAAACCAAATCGAGCCGATTCTTGGAAAACCACAACGTAACGACACCGTAACGCCCCCCCACCCCCACCCCGCAGGTCAGAAATACCCTGGACGGATCGTTCGCGTTCCTGGACGACGTGGCCCACATCCGCTACGAGGTGAACAACGACTGCAACCTGCTGGAGGTCGGGGACCCCTTCGCCGAGCAGCCCTACGCCATCGCCGTCCAGCAGGGATCCCACCTCCAGGACGAAATCTCAAAGACGTCAGTCGATTCTTACTTCCTGGTGCATGGTCGTGGGAGTGGGAGGGCTCAAGGGGGGAGGAAGGACGTGAGGGAAGGAGGGAGGACGTAAGGGAGGGCGTGGGGAGGGAATGCGTGAGGGCGTGTCTCTGTGCCCACGCTTCGGTTGCCCGACGATGGCATAAAATATCGGCCTGTTAGTTGCGAAAATTAACTAGCTGGTAGAGATGGACAGGATGCAGGCCGAGTTCGTTTGGTGGGGAATTTGCAGTAAAAATTGAAATTTTATTGCAAATTTTGAATTTAAAATTTGGTCACGTCGGCTCGGAAGGCACGAGCATCCCCGAGCCCCTAAGGATGTGGCCCGCAATGCGCATGCGCGTGCGACCCAGGCCTTGGGTGCGGTGTCTCGTCGGCAGCCAGAGCTGTTCAGTTCCCTTCCAGCTTTCGTCGTGGACGGATCCGAAGACGCAGAGCCCTCCATCCTCCTATCATGGGTACCGTTTTGTGCTCGCCGAATCTTAACAGAAACGAGATTTGTCGTGGTCGAGGGCAGGAAAGAGATGGCATTCGTTCAATCGGAGGGCAAAATGAGGGTTACTTAACTGAAAGGAGGCTCACTGCTAGATTTGGCTTTTTCAGCTAGTTTATGCGATTGCCTGCGAAAAAAAATTTCCTCGTAACGAGCTGATAACTCGAGCATAACTCGAGTGATGACAAGAGCGGGTCGAAAGGGTCGCCATTTTACCTTTCTTGCCTTCTCCCTTTTCGGGATTTTCCGGGTCTTTTCATCATCCGATTTCTTTTTAGGATCCTGACGCTGCAGAAGGACCGGTTCTTCGAGACCCTGCAGAGCCAGTTCTGGAACTCGAGCAAGCGGGGGCCCTGCCCCAACACCAACGACAGCGAGGGGATCACGCTCCAGAGTTTGGGTCTGTTCCCGACGTCGCTCTGATGCTATATATCTGGGGTCTGATGCATTTTTGGGGGTTCTGATGCATTTTTTCGATCGTTACTCGTGTCTTCGTCGTCGAGGAGTTAGAGAAGCTGGAGAGAGGAACATTTCAATTAGCGTATATGGAAACTTGAAGATTGAACAAGCACGGGAAAGGATGGGCAAATGTCTTCTTTTTTTTTTAAAGGAAAGTAAAGGGCATAAAGATTTAAAACAACAAAAAAAAACTAATAAGAAGAATGCATAACCGTAACGAACCAAGAAACAAACCAAACACCAAGAAATCACTCAGTCTCACCGATAATTTAAATTATCCGAATATATTCGTAAAAAAAACTGGACCTCTCGCCGACAGGCGGAGTGTTCATCGCGACGCTGGTGGGGCTGGCGATCGCCATGGCGACGCTGGGCGTCGAGGTCTACCTCCAGCGGAAGAGGCAGGGCAAGGTCACGGACAAGGGCAAGGCCAGGGACAAGGACAAGAGCCCCGCGAGGATCACGCCGCGCGTCTCCATCGCCGGGATCGGGAAGTACTGATCCCGACGCTCCCGCCATCTACCTTCACCTTTTGCAAGCTCTCGTTTCTCCCGCCTGCCGAGAGATGGCTCTGCACTCTCCATCCACCGCTCCAACCTTCTTTCACGCTTTGTAGAAAGACCGAGGTGTGAAAAGCACGATGTGTAACTTGCACTAGCGACACCATGCAAAAAAAACCTCATATTCGCTAAAAATTTCGCAAATATTCTGGGAATAAATTTTGTTCTGGGGAAGCAGGAAACCTCATCATTCACGGACGAGCACGATCATTTTTTTTTTTTTCCAGGAACTTGGCCGAACGTCAAGGCGGAGTAGAGCTCATTAGAAGGCCGACCTTCCCGATCACGAATCGATTACGCGACGTCGATCAACGTCGCAAGGCATAGGGCATCGCAGGCTCGGAGTATTTCACGGGCTCGGGGCATTTATTTACAGGCTCGGGGTATTTTACAGGCTCGACCGCCGACGGCGAAGAAGGCGAAGACGCTAAGCAAAATTACAGGGTTCGGGGATAACGTTGTCAGGATATTTTTTTTTTTTACGAATATATTCGGATAATTTAAATTATCG